CGGTGCTAAAGTTACGCATCATGCACCAACAAAGTTTTTTTTTTTTGAGACTTGGGTTGCCTTTCATTCATATCAAAACGGCCGAAGCCTCGTACAAGATCAGATCACGTATACAAGCCGGCGTTTCATGCCACACCTCGGACCTATTTGTATCCGTGATCTGTTTAGCAAGTTCATGAGCAACCCTATTACAATCTCTACCAATGAAATTGAAAATAAAATCACTAGAAGCAAGCGACAATTCTTTGATTTCCGTTAGAACCGACCCCAACAGGAGATCGTTGGAAATCGATCTTCTTCCATAACTGCACAAGCTCCAAACAGTCCGTTTCTAGATAAACTTTTTGCAGCCTAGCCTGTCTCACCACAAACAGCGCATCTCTGCAAGCAAGCGCCTCCATCATCCCGGCGTCTAGCACTCTGTCATACCAACGCCCATGCGCCTTCAGAAAACTTCCCTGGTGATCCTGGCAGGCTGCAGCAGCTGCCCCACTGCTCGTCGCGGCATAGAAGGCGGCGTCGACGTTGATCTTGGTCCACCCCTGGTTCGGTGGCCACCACCTTTGCAATCCCCGGCTGTTTTCCGGTTGACAGTCCGGGTGTGCCAGGGTCCACTGATCGAAAGCCGTATCCCGCGCCCAAGTGACCGCCTGATACAAACTGCACGCCTGCTCTCCATGTCTTCGTTTATTTCTCATCATCCACAAAGACCACATCCCGCATAGTAGGATTGCACGATCACGCTTTGAGCAAACTCCCAGCAACAGATCAGCTGTCCAGGCCACTGAGTTCAATCTCGGGAGGTTCGTCCCTGTAGCCACCCTTATATGTTTCCAGAACTCTCTTGCCACAGTACAGTCAACAAGAGCATGTCTTATAGATTCTTCACGATCTCCACAAACTTCACAAAAAGCTACAGGTTCAATGTGTCGTCTCCACAAAATTTGTTTTGCCGGTAAAAATTCATGGAGCACTCTCCACCAAAACACTCTCACTTTTGGAGCAACTTCTAGTTTCCAGAGAATTTTCCAGAGCCGATCAGAAGAAGAACTTGGCTGCTGATTGTGCACTCCTTCATTCTTGCTGTTAAACAGAAGCTTATACGCCGATTTCACCGAGTAGCAGCCATGTCTCTCCTGATCCCACGCCCATAAATCATGTTCTCCTCTCCCCAAAGGCTGACGAAGGATAGCATTAGCATCTATTGGGAAAAACTGAGCCCGTATTTTACCTTCATCCCACTGTCCAGCGTTACACACACCGGTAAAAAAAGGTTTTCTGTTCTCGGCTGCGAACCCCCTTTATTCCCGGTTACGCAGCCGGGAATAGGAGTTCGGGAATAAAGGGTTAGTAGCCGAGAATAGAAGTGGACCTTTAGTCTCGGTTGGTGATACCAACCGAGATTAAAAAGGTAGCCACGCCAGCGCCTGGGCTGGCTCTTTTATTTCTGGTTATCAACCGGGACTAAAGGGTCTTTTTTTTTCTTTTCCTGCTTATTTCAATTGATGATTCTTTTTTGTTTTAATTTGGTTTTCGAATACGCATTATTCGCTGCAAAGTAATATACGTATACGCGCGCGTACTGTAAAGTTTTTGCTCGATCAATGCACGCAAGCAACAAAAGTAAAAGTAAACTAAAACATAATATTACATTTGATCGTCACATGTAAAGTTTGCATTAATTATACATTTCATCATCACATGTTTTTGGATCAATATGAAATTTGGCTTTCATCATCACATATTTGGGTCATAGTAAAACTCGCCGCCGGACCTAATCATTCAGAAATCCATCTATTGTCTCTTGAATTGCTTTGAGATGGTGTGTGTCCAGGTTTTTTTTCCTTCAACCAACGAGTCTTCAATTTGAGATATGAGATAAAGAAAAAGTATATTAGTATATATATATATGTATGTATGTATGTATGTAGCAAGAATAATGATAAATAAATTGTATCTATCACGAATATATATATATGTGTGTATAAAGAATATATATATATATGTACACTTACCATTTTTTTGCTCTAGAATAGTTCTTTTTGAGCACACTCTCATGAACTCGCAAACATAGTATCCACAGATATTGGTCCCCTGGGGCTGCAGCAGAACCCACTTTACGAGAAAAAGATTCGTCATCATCCGAGCATAGGAAAATTGAACTAAGGTAGGTATATAGTACTTACTTTGTATAGCACTACTTTCAGTGGCACTTTGCGTTTCATATGGTGTTCCTGACATACATTTTCCCAACAACTATCAAATAACATAAAAATATTTGGACCATTAATTTGCATGCAGAGAGACTGGAATAGTTTTGCTAGTGAGACTGCAATTACCTCTGAATAATATCTATCATCTCTTGGAACTCTTTTTGCTCTTTTCTCATCGAGTCCCAGATGCCTAGAAGACCTTTCTCCACATCGAGTTCCATCAATATCCGGTGTTCACTGTCATGTCCATTAACACTCATTAATTAGCTAACAGGTACAGTGAACATATATATATATATATGGAAACACGATCATCGACATTATGAACACTTACCTGAAGTTGTAGGGGAAGAGTATACATTTCTTGTCACGTTGCTTCTCTAAGAACATCTTGATATTGGCCTCTGTTTCTGCTTTCCATGTTGGTTGGGGTTTAGGGTTTTTGAATACGATATGTGGATCAATGAAACCAATATCAGTACACCCTCTCTTTTTGCACTCTCACATCTCAAACCTGCATCATATATATAGAGTGAGGATAATAAACACAGACATGTACGTACGTAGCGACTTATTATTAATTAGTAGAAAGAATCACTTATAGACAATAGCAGCTGATGAGAGTCTTGTCGAGAGAGTTCCGGTGGACTAGTTGGTGTAATTCAGCAAGCTCAATGTACATAACGTCATCGCCACGGAACCAATGGTCTTCTTTGATTCTGACAGAAATATAGACCATTTGGCAAAGTTCAATGTACATTTTTCTTTGTGTCGCGTGAGACGAAATACGCTGAATTACATATTGAAAACAATATAATTTTGCATCAACCTCCACAAATATTTGTCTCTTAGGACACAATAGACCATTTGGCAAAGTTTGGCACCATTCCGGATCATTTAGGGGGTGGACTCAGTTCAATGTATAATTAATCGGTGAATTCACGTGAAAATTCAATTAAAGTGAAAAAAGTACCAAACCACCTCAGAAAAATCTCAAACTTGGTTGTGGCTACACATAAGGCATTTGAAGTCTTGAGAAAAAGTTTCAGCCCAATCCGGCACTAAAAAGCACATGGACCTTAGAATCCCAGAGAACCTAGGTGTATAGATAGGGTTCGACGAAAGGTTCTATATACCTCTGTGAAACACGTTGACTCCGCCTATGTCTAAATGGCTTAAAAAATTTTTGGCAATCATTTACACCCAAAATATGGCCCCACACAAGATCTTAGGTTTTTCTGATAATTATTTTTATTATTACATTTTTTTTTGTGCCACGTGAGACGAAATACGGCGAATTACATATTCAAAACAATATAATTTTGCATCAACCTCCACAAATATTTGTATCCTAGGGCACAAGAGACCATTTGGCAAAGTTTGGCACCATTCCGGATCTTTTCGGGGGTGAACTCAGTTCAACGTATAATTAATCGGTGAAGTCGCGTGGAAATTCAATTAAAGTGAAAAAATTACCAAACCAATTCAGAAAAATCTCGAACTTGGTGGTGGCTTCACACTGGGCATTTAAAACCCTGATAAAAATTATGAGATCAATCAGGCACTAGAAAGCACATGGACCAGAAAATTCAAAGTATAGTTAACAAAAGAATATAATTAAAAGGTCTTTTCTCTTATTAAATAAATGTTTGGGTGCTTTCTTGTCGAGAAAGTGACTTAGTTCAGATGGCTAGCTAGTGCGCTGCGGTTTGGACCTTGGCTATGAGGTCGTGGGTTCAATGCCTGGCTGCCCTATTTTTTTGTCCAGCGCGATTATATTATTTTATCAAGAAAGATTTTATCCCGGTTATAGCCCAGAGCCGGCTGGAGCCTCAAGCCGGGAGTAAAGATTTATTCCCGGTTGGAGGGTCCCGGCTCTGAGCTATAACCGGGACTAATTGTTGCCTGCCGTCGCCACAGACTTGGGGCAGGAACTTTGTATCCTTGTTTGAGGATATAACCGGGACTAATAGTCCCTTTAGTCCCGAACACAAAAATACCAGGACTAAAGACAAAAATAGAGGCGGGATGAATGGTCTGTTTTCTAGCAGTGACAGCAAGTCTGAAACTTGCTCGACATCTCTGCCTTCTCTGGGAGTGATTGGTCTCGCATCGAAGTGTTTTGAAATCCATCTATCACCAAATAGCAGTATCATGCCCATTTACAATTCTTCGAACCAGACCTTTCTCGAGCGGCTCTCTTCCTGCCAGGATTGCGCGCCAAGTGCAGCTAGCACGTTTTCGTCTAGTCGCTCTCATGAAGTCTGAATCTTGAAAATACCTCCCTTTTAGGACTCTTGCACAAAGGAATTCAGGTCTTGTAATGAGACGCCAACCTTTGCTTCCCTAACATTGCCAAATTGAAGGACCTGAGATCCCTAAAGCCCATGCCATCTCTGCACTTCGGTTGGGTCAGCCAATCCCACATGCACCAGCAAAGCTGGGCAAAATATCCCTGGTCTTTCAGTAATCAGTTCCAGTCGAGCACAAACAATCCTGATAAAGAGCTCGAGGGCAGCACCAAAGCAACTGCACATTAGCTGTCAGCAGGCCTCACCCTGGGGATCCAAGCAGCTCCAAAGGCTCTAAGAGGGCAGCACCAAAGCAACTGCACATTAGCTAAGTCAAAGTGTGATAAGGAGGACAAGGAAGGAGTCGTATCCTGAGATCTATCGGATTTTTTCTTAATATACATCATATTTTTACTCATCAGCCGCCTGGCCGGCTAACATTAGCTCATTTTGTTTCTTCTTCACTCTGTCTCTTTCCTCTGAAATCTCCACTCCAATGGCCTCATCAGCTTCAGGTCAGCAACCACCCAAACCGAACCAGCACGTCGAGCTTACCATCTGCACCGACGATGACAGCGCAGGGAGGGCGGCTCGCGTGTTCGACGAACAAGAAGACGACGAAGCTAGGGAGCTCCTGCTCGATGTGGCGGACTCGGACAGTTACCTCGCCGGCGCCGGCAGTAGCGCGCCGCCCAAGATACGGGTGCGGGGGCTGAGGAAGCGTGCGGCGTCGACCGGCGAGGAGATCCTCCGGGGCGTCCACCTGGACGTGCCGCGCGGGGTCGTCATGGGCGTCATCGGGCCCAGCGGCAGCGGCAAGTCCACGCTGCTCCGCGCGCTCAACCGCCTCTGGGAGCCCGCGCCCGGCGCCGTGTTCCTCGACGGCGCCGACGTCTGCGGCCTCGACGTCCGCGCGCTCCGCCGCAAGGTCGGCATGCTTTTCCAGCAACCCGCCATGTTCGAAGGTACGTACGCGTGCTCCTGTTCCTGTGCCAGTACACGCTAAGCTAGAGTCTAGACGTACGGACTCTTATTCTTTCTCTGCCAAACCGCCTCGTCTGCAACCAAGTCCAAGACGAAGTGCAAAACGAACTATCGTGGACCTTATTTCTGCTTCAATGATTAATTGCTTAAAAGAGCTACCGCTAAACTGTGTAATTAGATTTTTTATTTATATTTCTTTTCATGAATGAAATTGGGAATATGAAAAATTTTGCAAAAAAATGTGCAGTACCCAAGACAGGGACTCGTGGACCACACCAATGATAAAAAAGCCTCCATGAAGAACTTTTCAAATGAAATTATTCAAATACACACCCATGGATGAAAAAACAGCAATGAAGAAAAATAATTATTCAAATTATTTTCCCACATGAATTTCTCACCTTGAAAAAAGTCAGGTATCCAAGGAGATTTGAGTTTCCAAATTATCCCTTATTGGGATCATGCGCTCAGAGGCTAGAGCTCACGGCTCATGCTTTCTCTAAGACTAAATTCAAGTCCGTCAAATTTTGTCTTAAGTTTACCTTTTCTTAATCTTTGTCAAATGTCAAGCTATATTATTTAAACGAAAATGGTTACGTACTATGAAAATGTACTATCAATAAACTTAATGATATGGATCTTGTGTAGACGTGTAGTAAATCCAATTATAGTTTTTTAGGTGTCAATAGTCAAAGATGAAGAAAAAACTAAATTGTCCGCCATTGCCATCTTCGAAGCAAGAAATCCTATTCGTTCTGCTTATATTTTTCAACGAGCTTTCATCATGTCAAGTGTACTGAGAAGTGAGAACCCATATGACATCACAATGCAAGTTGTAGTTTGTAAATTGGACAAATAACCTGATTTTATCATCCTCCGAGTGGTACAAACCAAGTCGTACCCCAGATTTCTAGGTTTGGGATCATTAGCTAAAGGACGGTTTTGACAGGGTAAAACATACTTGCATAATTCAGGAGTGATGTGGCTTTGACGTAGTATGTTACGTAGCTTTGAATATAAGCTTCTAGGCTTACTATTTAATTAAGACTCCCAAGAATTCCCATAATGAATTTCTCGAAAGAGCAGAGCGGTGCAGAGAGGAACAAACACATAGTAAAAACCATTGTACTAAAAAAAGCCAAAACAGCTTACAAATTTGGAACGGGGGGAGAAGATACTAAAATCGTTGCAAACTATGTTGACAAGCAAGGCTTGATGCCCATTTTGACATTTAGTTGGGCTTTACCGTCATTTGTCATAATGAGTAGTACACTAAGCACTTTGTCAACTCTAGAATCGGAGCAATTTGATAAGGACTTCACAGGAAAACATACTCTTGCGCAATGGCGCCACCTGCTAATGTCATTTGAACTGTTCTTCACATAAGTTAGGTTTTTCTCGATGCACATGTATCAACCTTAATCCATGTGTGTTGGAGTAGGTTGAGATAAAATTTAATTTAAATTCCACCCAACCTACTCCAACATATGTGGATTAAGTTTTATCACTTTCACGTGCCTAACAAAAAAAAAACGTGTATCCCACACGGTCCCGCAAAAATTTCCGGATAACCGTAAGGAAGAAATGGCGCAAAGCAGGGCAACATAGGAAGTGCTTTTACGCCAAAGAAATGAGTTGCTCTGATTCTTACTACGTTTCTGCACGTGCTATGCCAGGGACTGTGGCATACAACGTGCGCTACGGGCCACAGCTGAGCGGCAAGAAACTCAGTGAAGACGAGGTGCAGAGCCTGCTGAGGCTGGCCGACCTGGACCCTGCCCTGTCCTCCAAGCCTGCCAACGAGCTGTCCGTCGGCCAGGCACAGCGCGTCGCCTTGGCACGCACCCTCGCCAACGACCCTGAGGTGCACACGCACTCACTCACACATCTACATTTCGTTGCCATCCTCCATGGCGCCGCCTCACCATCCTGCTGCTACGATCACCTCTGTTACTGGATGCATGCAGGTTCTCCTGTTGGACGAGCCGACGAGCGCACTGGACCCTATATCCACACAAAACATCGAGGACACCGTTGTGCGGCTGAAGAAGGCGAGGGGGCTCACCACGGTGATCGTCTCCCACAGCGTGAAGCAGATCCAGCGCATCGCGGACCTGGTGTGCCTCCTCGTTGCCGGCGAGATCGTGGAGGTGCTCGCGCCGTCAGAGCTGTCCAGGGCGAAGCATCCCATGGCCCGGCGCTTCTTGGAGCTAAGCTGAATATTGATTTTAGCAGGCGGAAGATGCACTCTCATCAATCTTCCGAGAAAAAGTCTGCATGCATCTACTACCGTGAAAATAAAAAGTCTGCATGCATCTACTACCGTGAAAGAAGCTGCAGATTTTTCTCCTAAATTAGGTAAATGCCTAAAATTAAGGAACTAAATGATTTGTTTATTTCTTACTATGGATGCATGCGCAAGGAGCAGATTTTTCTCATCAATTAACGTAAATGTCTATAGTTAAGGAAGCTAATTATTTGATTTCGTTCAATTAGCCGTAAATAAAAGCCGATAATTAAGCAAGTTAATGACTTCTTGGCAGTAAACAATGGAACTTGTAATAATCCTTTCGGCAGATGCTCCAATAGCATGAAACCACTTGGTCTGGCCGTAAAATCATAGGATTAAAAATAGCACTCTACAGAAACATGCGGTACAGATTCATAAGTATTCTTTAAAGCCATGAATCATTAGTAGTAAATCTTGAGTAGTACTGAACATGCTAGCTAGTTTACAATATTCTTCTGCACGTTTACAAGTTAACAAGGAAAAATGAACATGCTAGCTAGTTTCTTCAATCTTCTGAGATGCATGCATCTACGGTGTGCCGGCTTGTACAGAAGAACTCATCTAGCAATCACTATGCCATGCTTGTCTGCATCACCAAACTGCAGCACGCCAGTTTTGGGAGCAGCTCTGGACTCTGATGTCTTTGGCTGACTGAAAATACAGATCATCAAGAAAGACACTAGTCAGTAATCACATTAAATTAAAATCGACTCACATTTCAGTAAAAAACACGGAACAAAACTCATGAGACAAACAATTCTAAAATTAAAAAAATGACGACGGGGAGGCAGTAGAGTGATTACAACAGCGATGGTAGTAGTAGCAGGATTGGCAGCAACATTAGTAATATTGGTGGCAAAAGCAGTGATAATAATAATAGTTGGCATAGTAGTAGAAGAATTAGCAATTGTAGTAGCAGAGGACTGTACCAGTATGTATGAAAGAAAGAAAAACACCCTAAAATTACTTTTATTGAGTTCATTTCTCTACTAGTAGTAATTTCTTATATAGCTCCTTTCTCTAGAAGTATTTTTCTTATAATTGGGAAACTAGCCAGTAGTAAATCATTGGAAAGAAAACATTGAAAATTACTACTAATAAACGATAAATAATATAACAGTAGATCCAATGAAAATTCAGAGAGTACCAAGACTCAATGAGAACAATCATATACTACAAAATGATAACACAAATTGTTGGCTTCATCACTTGTGCCGCCAGTGCAAGCTTCTCCACGAAAGATGCTCAAAAGCAGCACCAATCCAGTGGCCGCAATCGTAAACATTCAACCGTAACCGTATATATCTAATACTAATGTAGTGCTGCAGCCATATGCAAGCATTTGTATGTTACTGTCAGATGTCGCTTATTCTGACCATTGGTAGCTCTCGTTCATTGGTAGCTCTCGTTCGGATGCAGGTGAGCAAGGCATGAAAAAAAGCAGAGAAAAACTATCGAAATAAAGATACACCAGAAAAATAAATCTAATTTAACTTGGCCATTCACATATGATTAATCTAACAATTTAGACCATGATTTGATCACGTGAAGCCATCACAAGTGCTCATTACTACTAATATAGCTCCTTTCTCTAGAAGTAATTTTCTTATAATTTGGATACTAGTTAGTAGTTGTAACACCTCTGGTGTTACGAGCTCGTTAGCGCCACGATTTAAGGCCTAAGTAAAATTTTCGAAACAAGTTTCACGAAATTTTTGATTTAAAATGTACTTGATGCGATAAAGCGAATCCCGTGTGACTTAGTTTTGTGGACTCGAATAAACGTTCAAGTTAAATTACTCAGTGCGTAAAGGTATTTAGGATTGTCGAACGACGATTCTAGCGAATGGTTTGTTCGGTTAGATTAAGCATGAAAAGCAACTTTTATAAATAGAATAAAATCCATTAATAAATAGAACTATATATATATATATACTCACAGGTTTATTTTGTTAAGTACAAACTGACGAGAAAAAGAGCGTACAGTTTCGTTTATTTTTCTGGCGTACAGCGTACTCGTCTAGTATTGCTATTGATCATTGTCTCGTTCTCATCGTGGCATCTGCATTTCTCTGCATTGCAAAGTCTCCTCATCCATCCGCATCCATGCTCCCTGACGTTTCCTTTTGCTTCTCTCTCTGGCTTGATTGCTTCTGTTTGCATTTGCTAAGCCGCTCCTTGTTTTCCCTCCTCACTGCTTGCCTTGTCGTTTGCTGCCATTTTTCACATTGCCACACGTGGTTCTGCCCCTGCCCTCGCCATGTCCCTTCACGTTCCGTGTGCATGTAGGCGCGCAGCTGACGGCCACGCTGCGCCGTCCTTCTCTGTCCCCCAACGTCGCGTCTATCAATTGGTGGCGAACCCGCACGCGTCTCCTTGCTTTGCCTCTGCTGCCTTTGCCTGCCTTGCGTGCCTCTATGGCTTGTCTTGCCTGCCTCTGCTGGCTGTCGTTGTTGAGTTAGGGACTAGCAAGCGAACTGATCGACGGGACATCTCCCTGCCGCTGCTGTATCCCTCTGTGCCGAGGTCGAGCTGCTGCTGCTGTCGTGAACTCTCCATTTCTTTTTCTACAGCCGAGGAGTCCAGCTCAGCTCGCCCACCCGCTCACTCTCTCGGTCACTCTCTCTGTCGGTTCCTTCCCCATCTCGCGCGAGAGCATCCCACGGTCCCAAGCGCCGCTCCATCTCTGCTGCAGCACCGTGCGCGGCTCCGCCTCACCTGCTCCATGGTGCAGTCCTTCTCAAGCGTCTCCTCTCGTCTTTGAACTGCGCCACGCCCGCTGTCCTGCAGCACCGCCTAGGCCGCGCCCGCCGTCGCCGCTGCCAGAGGCCGCGTGCGTCTTCTCTTCGCTTCTCTCCCGCGCCGCCGCGTCTCACGCCCGCCGGTGCTGGCCTTCCCCCGCGCGAGCGCACACGGACGTCCACGGCTTCGCTTCACCGTGGCTCCCCTCGTGCCCCGCGCGCCGGCGCCCCCGCAGCTGCCATGTTTGCTTCCGTCGCCGCCCTGCTAGCGCCGCCCGGTTTTTCCTCGCGATGCTCCACCTCCAGCGTCGGTGCTCCCTGCTGCTCCACGGTCATCACCGTAGTCGCCCGAGCCCCCGTCGCTGAGCAGCCGCGCCTCCCAATCGCAGCGCCCACTGTGGCCTCGCGCCGCGCCACCCGCCGTCGTCGGTTTTCCCCCACCTCGCACGAGCGCGCGTCGGCTCTCAGCGCTGCCCCTCTCTCTGCCAAGCTAGGGCCTGGCGTGGGTGCAGCCGGATGTCCGCTTGCCGTGCGGCCGTGCAACTCGTCCTCACCCGGCTAGGAGCCCGGTAGCCGGAGTCGGTGGCCGGTTCCGTTCCCTCCTCTGCTTTGTATCGAAGGGGAGAAGAGGAGAAGGTGAGAACGTGTAATTAGTAGTTTTTCGGAGGGTTAGGTGTGAAGACTGTGACGCACACGAACAGTAGGATACGAAATAGATCGAAGCGTAAGGGCATTTTTGCAAAATGCCACCGCCGCTGGGCTTCCCATCGTGGGCCGGCCTGCTCGCACTGGGCCGCCTGCGTCCGTTTTGCGTCGCGCGTGGTTGGTCGTTGGGCCGTCGACTACTCCGCTGGGCCACCGGTCGTGCGCGCGCCTGTGGGCGAGCCGCGCTGCCCGGGCTGCCGCAGCGCCTGGGCCGCGGGTGCGCGGACTTTCGTCTGGGTCGACCTGTCGCCACATGAAAGGTCCTAATGGCTAGAGGCGGGGTTAATAGCCTAATAAAAATTTCTACAACAACACTTAACAAATCGGTTAGACAATTATAAGGCGCGGTAAGTGTTGCGCTAGCCTACTAAAAATGCAAGCCACCTACCACAATTCTAGTTTAGATAGTATCTATTCACACAATAGCTATGACACTACCCTATGTTAGTGTGCTCTCAAAGGCTAACTAAAGAGCCACACCAACCAATCAAGCAAGCTCTCACTACTAGCTACACTAAAGAGCTTGACAACTAGTTTTCGGTAATGTAAAGAGAGTGATCAAGAAAGTTATACCGCCATGTAGATGAAGGAGCCAATCAATCACAAGAATGAATAATAATGAAGACCAATCACCTCAGAATCAAATGATGAACACAATGATTTTTTACCGAAGTTCACTTGCTTGCCGGCAAGCTACTCCTCATTGTGGCGATTCACTCACTTGGAGGTTCACGCGCTAATTGGCATCACACGCCAAACCCTCAATAGGGTGCCGCACAACCAACACAAGATGAGGATCACATAAGCCACGAGCAATCCACCAGAGTACCTTTTGGCGCTCCGCCGGGGAAAGGTCAAGAACCCCTCACAATCACCATGATCGGAGCCGGAGACAATCACCACCCTCCGCTCAACGATCCTCGCTGCTCCAAGCCGTCTAGGTGGCGGCAACCACCAAGAGTAACGAGCAAATCCCGTAGCGAAACACGAACACCAAGTGCCTCTAGATGCAAACACTCAAGCAATGCACCTGGATTCTCTCCCAATCTCACAAAGATGTTTATTCTATGATGGAAATTAGTGGGAGGGCTTTGGCTAAGCTCACAAGGTTGCTATGTCAATGCAAATGGCCAAGAGAGTGAGCTTGAGCTGGCCATGGGGATTAAATAGAAGCCCCCACGAAATAGAGCCGTTGGCTCAATTATTGGACAGACTGCACGTCGACCGGACGCAGCACCGGACGCGTCGATCGTGAATACCGGACGTGTCCGGTCGCTATACCGGACGTGTCCGGTAGCTGCCTGACTGCCACGTGTCTAGTTCAAACCAACGTAGCCGTTGCTGCCCATACTGTCGACGACCGGACGCTCACACCGGACGTAGAAACACAAATGACCGAATGCTGAGCCACTGAGTCCGGTCGAGTCCAGTAAGCCACCAGGGCCGACCGGACGCGTCTATTAGAAACTAACCGGACGCTGAG